CACTGCAAGCTCAGCCCGGTCCGTTGCAGGCAAGGGCTTAGTTTCGAGAATGGCAGCAGACAGGCTGAGGGAGCTGCCTTCCCGCATCCCCAAGCCAAGCAAGGGCAGTGCAAGAGGTGCTGTGAAGCGTGGGACGAGGTCGGCAGCAGCAAGTGCATGCCTGCCGCCGTCCCTCATTCCCAAGCCACGGTCAGCCAAGACTGCACCTGCTGCACTGGCGACCTTAGGGACGGCACATGCGACTGTGGTAACCCGTCCTCTAGTCGTAGCAAGAAGCAGCACACAGCAGCAGCAGGAGAGGAGGAATGGCAGTGCAGAATGCAGTGGAAGGCGGCCTATCAAGGCAAATACAGCAACAGCAGCAGCAAGGCCTCCTTGGAGGCCGTGAGGGATGGAGTGTGTGGTGGAGAGTGGGAGGGTGGTGCTGATTGGAGTGAGTAGAGAGCAGCCAAGGTACGGCTAGTACGGAGTGGTGGACAGTGGGGAGGAAGGCGGAAACACTTTTTGCACCCTGCTGGTCAGGGTGTTGCAGCAACTGGATGGGGGACTGGAGCATGGAGGCTGGATTGTGGGAGGCACTTAGACGACTAAAGTTGCTCACGTGCTCTCCAATGGGTCAGAGGCTGGGCCATGTGATGACCGAGGCTTGACATCATGGGATGGGATGTTGCTGCTGCTGGTAGTGTGCTGTTTAGTTGTCGGGCTTCTTAGAATGTAGTTATCAATGTACATGCATGTTATTTATATCTATTGTTTAGCTGTACACCTTGTTTGCCTGAACGGAGACATGGTACAAGCCAAAAAATCAAAAGCAGCACCAATGAATGCCTGCCTGCCAGCATGGTATACTGGAACAACCACTTCCAGCCAAACCAAACTTCCGAATACTATCCAAGAAACGTCAGGATACGCAAGGAAATTCAACAATCTTTTAGAAAGTTTCATTCAGCATGCAGTGAGGTGCACCAGCACGGAGGTCCGTGCATGCAATACTATCACATGTGTAGAGCCACACAAGAATGTCAGAGCAAGCGGGATACACCAACTTTCCTTGTTTGCAGCACTCCAACTTCAGATCAGAGCAAGCAGCCGGATTTCTCCTCATCATGGCGCCTCATTTGTTGCCTGAAGCGCCCCCACCCCTCCTCTCCTCTTTCCTCCCCCCCATGGAGGTGGTTGCACGGCCGCCATGCTGTTGCTGTCTCCCCCTGTGCTCCGCGCCACCTGCAGTTTCGCCGCCCGCATGGCCGCCACCGTGATTGGCCGCAGCCGTAACACGCGGTTACCACCGCCACCACCACCACCTCCACCACCGTCGCCGTTGCCGCTGCCACCATAATCGCCGGCTACTCCTGACAGGCCTACACCAGCTGTCTTTGGCTTATTGGAGGGAGACGCTGTGAGGGCGAGGGAGAGGATTTGCAGAATCCGGTGCAGATCTATCATCCCCTACAGCTTCTCACTCCCTCTGTTCCACCCCTTCCGGTATTCAGTACAGTGCCGTTCATTACAGTCACCGCCAATGCAGGGCCCACCTTCCCCCTCAGTCAGAATTTCAACTTCGCCCCCACCTACTACGTTTTCCAGCCCAGATGCCAAGGGCTTAAAGGCTTCAAGACTGTAGCAATCCGCTCACCCTCTTCCCTTCACCCTCCTGCTCCTCACCTTTTCTGCTTCCAACCAACCTTCCCTGTTTCTTACTTCAACGTCTTCCTTCCGTGCACCAATCTCCTCACCTCCTTTGCTCATCTCCATTTTCTCTACTCACCATTTTCTCTCCTCACCTTCTCCTGCTCACATGCAGCATCCCTTGGAGCCACCAGGACATGTCAGCCCAATCATGCCAATACAGCTTTCCCATTTTACAGCGCTTCACCATCAGATCACAGCAAGTAAAAAAGCACTTTTTTTAATGCAGCGCCCCAACACAGCATACCACTCTACACTGGAACACACATGACTCATAATATCCCCCTGTATAGTCACACCTTAGAGTATCCCTCCCTCAGTCATGCTAGCATTGGCACTAACAGCACCTCTCCTGTGCCTGCCTCACACTGACTGACACCAACCCCCCTTATAGTCACACCCATCCTGAGGTCTCACCCATCCCCCCTACTGCCTCACACTGTCCCTACTTGCTTAACCCAACACCCCAGTACCGCACCACACCGTGCTATGTCTCTCCATGGCTCGGGGTGAAGGCACCGCCCTCGTCCAGCCCCTCGCCCCTCGCCCTCCTCCCCCCTCCTCCCGCTGGATCCCCCAGCAAAGCTAGCTGGGGCAGCAGAGCCACCCGAGAAAATTGCGCTGCCTTTCTCCCTGCTGCCCGCGCCTGGCACGCAAACCATCAGACTGAGTGGGGGAAAGGGGAGACGGGGTAGGAGGGTAAAGTGGGAGGATGGGGAGGGCAGTGCAGTGTAGGGGGTGAGTCCTCTCATGCGCCCTCTCATGCGCCCTCTCATGCACCCTCTCATGCGCCCTCTCATGCACCCTCTGATGCGCCCTCTCATGCGCATCCCATGCCCAGCACAAGGCCTAATGAGATGAGATGGGGGCAAGAAGCTCAGCCCTTGATGGCATGGGAGCGCTCACCTACCCTACCTCCTCCTATGCTGCGCCATGCCATGCTCCATGCATGATGGTGCTGACAAGAGAGGGAAGGAAAAGAAAGAATGATGAAAATGGGATAAGAGAGAGGGGAAACGGATGGGTATGAATTGACTAGAGGGGTTTAACCCTCTTTCACGAATGTCCATACATCCCCCTCCTTGCCCACGACAGCAATCACACATCACATGCCACGTTACGGATCTGAATGGGATGAACATGGGATAAGCATGGGATAAGCATGGGATAAGCATTGGATAAGCATGGGATGAACATGGGATGAGCATGGGATGAGCATGGGATGAGCATGGCATGAGCATGGCATGAGCAAGGGATGAGCAAGGGATGAGCATGTGATGAGCATGGGATGAGCATGGGATAAACATGGGATGAGCATGGGATGAACATGGGATGAGCATGGGATGAACATGGGATGAGCATGGGATGAGCATGGGATGAGCGTGGGATGAGCATGGGATGAGCATGGGATGAGCATGGGATAAGCATGACAGCATGACATCATGCCGGGAAGTGGAGAGAAGTAGGGGGGCTTATGGAACGGGGGTTGTGTGCATGGTGTTGAAAAGTGGGGGAGGTTAGACTAGAGCGCACAGATGTCAACTTCTGGAACGAGGTTCGCACATTAGACTCACCCCTCACTCATGTCGTCCACCCATACGTTGACTCATGCAAGTATGGCAGTTTGAAACTCACTAGTGGCTCACTCCCCGTACCTTGTTCAGCAGATGTTGAGAACCGATTGGCCAATGAGACTCACTACTGGGTCACCACTTCAGCACCACGCTCGCACGTTCGGCCACCAAATGCCTTCATCAGCACAATGCTCGCACGTAGAGTTAATGTCATGAACTCACCTCGCACACTCAGCTCTCCATGCGCGATCGCATATCCAGCACCAGATATTACAATCGTGATCCGATTAAGGAGGCTTTTATTCGCTCATGTCGTCCAGCGCGACGCCACACGAGCTCATGTCGTCCAGTGCGACGCCACACGAGCTCATCCGACACGCTCAACGCGCCACTCAGGTCACACATGGTGTAACGCCCAAGGCATCGACGAATCACATTCATCTCAAAGCTAGTTGCACGCCACTCGCATGGCTTGTGAAAGAGGCATGAGAGGCCGCGGATCCCAGTAGCAGCGGCAGAGGAGTGGCAGAGGCACAGACCCACCAGCGCTTGGATTGGATGTAGGCCGCACTGGGGCAGGACGGAAGGAGGGACAGCAGGAGCGGGGCTGGACAGGGGAAAGCGTTGAGAGGGCGAGGGAGAGTAAGGAAGCCAGCAGCGCTTGAATACTGTGGTTGTGGGGGTCGGTTGATGGGGTGGAGCAGGTGGCGTCGAGCAGCAGGGGGGGAAATGATGTGGGAGGAAGGCATCTTGGTGGATGAAGAGGAGTTTCAGAGGCATACATACAAGCCCCAGGACAGTGGTGTGGGAGGAGGAGGGGGAAAGAGGGAAAGGGGGGAGGTCGGATGAGGGGCATTGGGGAGATGGAAGTGGCATTGTGGGGAGATGGGGAAAATGGCAGAAGTGGGGGCAGGGGAAGTGGGAGATGAGAGGGGAGGAGGGAGTGGGAGAGGCACCGGGCAGGGATATGGCAAGGAGAAGCCAAGTCAGCAGTGGCCTTGGAATGGGGGCCTGGCAGGGCGGCGAGAGATGTGGAAGATGTGAAAGGCGAATTGCTTTTGGCAGACCTGGCTTCAAAACTAAATGAAAATACGTACAAACGAGAGTGCTGGGGTGCTGCTGCTAGATCTCCCAACCGCTAGGGAATACCGGTAGTTGCTTGCACCGCAGCTTTCATAGCCTCATTTCCCTTTTATTCCCAGGTTAATGGAGTAACATTGACTTCACTGGAAGATAACCAGAGGTACCACCATAGCAGCTCTTGAATGATAGAGGAAATACAACTCATCAGCATGCTAGCTCACCCCATCTGCGTAACAACTACACCCCATGATACACAAAGAACATCAGCACGACAACTACCAACCATCCATCAACCACCACCATACGCATGACAAAAATCCACCGCCAGCAGCACCATGAATGAAGCCCTTGAAAGCCTCATATTCAGCCAACACCACCCATGAGAAGGGCATGAATCAGGCGGCAGTGTTGTCAACTGTCGGGGCGCCTGATGAATGAACTAGGCTGCAGCGGAGTCGAATAGCTTGGCCACCTCACTCCACATGGCCCAGGGCTTGGCAATCAGATCAACGGTATGTTGATGTGGTGCTAGCTGGGCAGGAACTCAAACTTGCACGGAATCTCCGAATCCACATACGCGTTGGTGAACGCCATTCTAACGCCCCCTTGAACCTTGAGAGGCATTGACCCCTTCTGTGGGTCCGTGACAGCGAGTTACAGGCCTTCAGCCATCGCATAAGAGTCAGTCAGGGTGAACCCGAGGCACGAGGAGCTCACGTCAAGGGGCTGGTTGGGCAAACCACCCACGGTTACCATGGGTACTTTGTGGCGTTTCCCCAGGAGGTGCGTGAGGACAGCGCAGGTGGAGAAGCAGTCTCCGTCGGAGAGCACAAGGAAGAGGCGGTCGCCAAACACTGGCTGCTCTTCCTTCACGGGCAGCTGCCCCTTGTGGTCGAACTTGAACGGCGCCGAGTAGGTCCCCGCACGGCCGGCCTGTGTGAAGCGCGGCTGGCGGAAAGGCGCGTAGTTGAAGGCGCTTGCGATGTGGGTGCCGTTGAGGTCCGTGTAGAGGCCGAGGTAGTAGTGCGGCGCCGTGGTGTTGTCCACTGCCAGCACGCCCATGGCATTCTCCGTGTACGTCGTGCCGATGACACAGTCCATGGGCGGCATGAGCTGCGTGTCTGGCACCTTGGCTGCCCCCATGAGTGAGCGCACGACTCTGTACGTCGCTTGTACGGAGCCGCCCCCGTTGCTGCGCACGTCTATGATGTTCTGCGAGGCGTTGGACCTGGAAGGGGGCACAGGGAAGGGAGGCATGGGGGGGGCGTGTGGGGGGAGGCATGGGGGGGAGTGCAAGAGAGAACAAGGTGGCGCGAAATTGATGTTTGAGATGAATGGCGTGAGGCAGGCGATGACTGAAGAGGCTTAAGAAGAGAGCACTGCGGTGCGACTAGGAGTGGAGAACGGAGAAAGGCGGGAGGAGGGGGAAGTCAAGTAGAAGGAAAGGCGGAGATGCAGAGGAGGAGGTGTACTGACGTTGCAGCGGTGTGAAGAGCCTTGGATATCTCCTCCATGAACGTCCCCATAGCTAACTTCTCCGCGAACGACCTTGTTGCAATGGGCGGGTAAAACGCGTGAATCCAGATCACTGCCGTGCTGCCCCCCACAAGGTATACCTGCTCGCATGCACGAAAGCACGTGCACACACACACACACATACACACACACACGCACGCATATACACACACATACATACACGCACACACACATACACACACATACACACACACATACACACACACACCTACACGCCCACACCCACGCACGCACGCACGCACGCACACACACAAACTGGATGCTCGTTACAGGTTAGCATGTAAGTGCGGCGAGCGCCTCGAATCTTATCAGATCCGATCTGATCAGATCAAATTCGATCAGATGAAAAACGGTTAGATCAGAATACGTCACATGGCAGTCAGTCGCTGCTACACATAAGCCCCTTGCAGGCACACACCAACCGGCACAAGCGGGCAAGCGCCATTCATGACTAGACAGTAACCAAGCGGCCATGAGGCAGGAGTCCATACAAAAATACGCATCATTCACCACAAGCCATCCCGCTCACCTCACCACAAGCTATCCCGCTCACCTCACCACAAGCCATCCCGCTCACCACAAGCCATCCCGCTCACCTCACAACAAGCCATCCCGCTCACCACAAGCCATCCCGCTCACCAGGAAGAAATCCTTCTTTGGAGAGATCCTCTTTACAGTCGGCCTCGCTACAGCACCAGAAGAGCCGTCTGCTGCAGTAGAAAGGGACGCGATGTCAACATTGAGGTCGTCCGGTGTGTGGCTCCCATTGCTGGTATCATCATTGTAGACTGGAGCGGAATGGCCTTCGAGAAAATCGTTTATCAGGGTATCTGCATGCCCGAGCATGCTTGCCTGCGCGCCGGTGCTGGCAGTAGCAGCAGCTGACAGATTCGGTACGGCACATTGGCTCGCCCAATACCCGGTGGCATTCGCAAAGTCAGCAAGCTTAGCCATCCCAATCCATGGCACCTCTACGTCCTCCGTTGACGCTCCATCCCTGAGAATCGCAGGGAGTGCGGCACATAAAGGGTGGGTGTGGGGGGCGGACGGGACATATGAAGCGTGAACGAGGACGAGTGGGATGAAACGCAGCAAGCAAACGACAGGGAAGAAGCAAGGAAGAAGCAGGGAAGAAGCAGGGAAGAAGCAGGGAAGAAGTAGGGAAGAAGCAGGGAAGAAGCAGGGTAGAAGCAAGGAAGTAGGGAAGAAGTAGGGAAGAAGCAGGGAAGAAGCAAGGAAGAAGCAGGGAAGAAGCAGGGAAGAAGCATGGAAGAAGCATAGAAGAACCAGGGAAGAAGCAGGGAAGAAGCAGGAAAGAAGCAGGGAAGAAGAAGGGAAGAAGCGGGGAAGAAGCAGGGAAGAAGGGAAGAAGCAGGGAAGAAGCAAGGAGGAAGCATGGAAGAAGTAGGGAAGAAGCAGGGAAGAAGCAGGGAAGAAGCAGGAAAGAAGTAGGGAAGAAGCAAGGAAGAAGCAAGGAAGAAGCAGGGAAGAAGCAGGGAAGAAGTAGGGAAGAAGCAGGGAAGAAGCATGGAAGAGTGGTAAGGAGAGGTGAGTGAGCATCTGGTACTGTGACAGGAAGGACACTAATAAGGTGTCATTTTCGGGTGCAACACTTCGCTTGGCGAAGTCGCCTGGCATCTGGACGATCATCGTGCCGTTGGGCGTTGTTGCGGCTACATTCCTCAAAAAAGACCTCGTGAATCGCGCTGCGAGGTTGCGAGAGAAGCCCACTTCCTTGTCCGGCCAATTGCGGATGAAATCTTCCGCTTTGTCCCCGTTAATAGCCACCACCTGGGACGTCGCATTGAAGCATGGAGTTAGAGTTGTTGGATAGGTGTGCCCAGCATGCAAGCAGGACGCAGTTGAACGAACCAAGTGCGCGAATGCCCATTGGCAAAACAAGCGACTCAATCGATTCATTGCATGCATTGCATACCTGTCGGCCCTCATAAAGGGCGAAGTCAAAACCGTGCAGACCCTTGTCAGAACTATACTGTAGGTTGTAGTGGGGCACTCCTTATGGGGTACAGTACTGTTAGGTTTTGCCCATACAACCTTGTACTGTATTGTTTCTACTCATTCTTGTTTCCTACCTTGTGACATAGTATCAGAGCAGAATCGTTCCTAGGGCCCACCGAACGTTCCGCCCTGCCCTAACTGATTTTTTTTTTTTTTTTTAACGTCGCCCCGGCAGCCCGTGGGCGCTGCCCATGCGACCCACGCGCCGCCTTGCCACGCCGCGCATTGCGACGCCCCTGCGGGACCCACGCGGCGTCGTTTCTGTTCGTCACGGCGCCCCCTGGACGCCACCCCTATTCGTTGCGGCACCCCAGGGGCGTCGACCTTGCTCGTCGCGGCGCCCCCTGGGCGCCGTCCCTGCTCGTCGCCGCGCCCCCTGGACGCCGCCCCTACTCGTCGCGTCGCCCCCGGGGCGTCGCCCCTGCTCGTCGCAGCGCCCCCTGGGCGCCGTCCCTACTCGTCGCCGCGCCCCCCCCCCCCCCCCCCCCTGGCACCGCCCTGCAACAGCTGCCGCAGAACCCCCCCTGGCGCCGTCGCGGCCCCGCCCTGCAGCAGCTACCGCGGAGCCCCCTGCCGCCGTCGCGGCCCCACCCTGCCGCTATCGCAGCCTCGCCCTGGAGTTGTCGCGGCCCCACCAGGCCGCTGTCGCGGCCTTGACCTGCCGCCAACGCGGCCCAGCCCTACCACTGTTGCGGCCCCGCCCTGCAGCAGCTGTACTGGCCCTGTCCAGCCGCGGTCGCGGCCCTACCCTGCCAATAACGCGGCCCTGCCCTGAAGCTGCTGTCGCGGCCCCGCCGTCGCCGCCGAGCGCCGGCCCTACTCGCCCGGTGAGCGCCTGCCCTTCCTGCCCCTATTAAGCACCTACCCTACCCATGCTTCCTGCACGTCTGCCTTACTAGCGCACTGCCGTGCCAGCCTGCCTGCCTGCCTGCTGCGCCTACCTGCCAGCCGAGCTGCGCCGCCCAGCTGAGCCGCGCCGCTCAGCCACGCCGAGCCGCCCAGCCGAGCCGCGTCGTGCTGTCGGGCTGTGCAGCACTGCTTTCCTGAGCCGCACTGCCCTGCCCGTGCTGCTACCACTGCTACTACTGCTACTGCTGTTACTGCTGCTTCTGCTGCTACAAGTGCTACTGCTGCTACTGGCAGTGGCCAGATGCAGCTTCAGCGACGTCCGCGCGAGTCTCTCACGCCCCAGCAGCTTCGTGAGTGGTACGCTAGTTGGGGTTGTGGCGGTGGTCGTCGTCGCTGTCGCCCTGGAGCTGGTCAGTCGGGAGCGTCTGGCGGTGGCCAGATGCAGCTGCAGCGGCGTCCGCGCAAGACTCTTACGCCCCAGGAGCTTCGTGAGTGGTACGCTCAGAGTAGAGGGTCACGGAGTACTGCTCGCTGCCCGTACATGATTCGCACAGGTGATCGGGCTGGTCAGACTTGTGGGACGGTTGGTCACGCACAGTCCCGCTGCTTTGCCTGTCTAAGCGACGCCTGACACACCGAGTTTGGTGACAAGGCTGAGCTCCCCGACTGGCTGGAGTTGCTTAGGCACAGGGTAGATATCTTTGCTCTTGACTATGATGCTATCCTCACTAACATGTATGCATTGCCTACTAGTGCTGAGGGTGCCTGTTACCTGTGTGTGCCGCCTGACCCAGGTATAGAGTCTACTGCTCTAGGTGCTGGTGAGGCTCCTGCTCTAGGTGCTGGTGAGGCTGCTGCTCTAGGCGCTAGTGAGTCCACTGCTCCAGGTGCTGGTGAGTCTGCTCTCTCTGGTACTGCGCCTACTGCGGCCTTGCACACCTTCACGCTTGACTCAGGAGCTTCCCGCTCCTTCTTCCGCGACTGCACCACACTCACGCCGCTCAGTCGGCCAATGGCAGTCTCTCTGGATGATCCCTCTGGGGGTCTGATCCTTGCACACTCCTTCACGGTTCTGCCGTGTCCAGCGGTCCCGTCTGGCTCTTTGTCTGGCCTCCACCTCCCCTCGTTCTCCATGAACTTGGTGAGTGGAGCTGACCTTCAAGACGTGTGGGTTGACTAGTTCACTCCTAGAAGTCTGCGGGTGACCCACTGTTCGTGTACTCGGATGGGCCGCCACCTGGCCACGTTCACCCGTCAGCCTAGGTCGAGCCTGTACACCCCAACTACCATGTCTCCTCCGGTCACTAAGTCTCATGAGGTAGCCGTGTCGGGTCAGGTGTTTGCTGTAGCGTCTCGGTCTGTACCTGAGTCTGCCCCCTGCTTGTGTCGCCTCCTGTCTCACCAGACTCGTCTGGCACCACCGCCTTGGTCACCCCTCCCTGCCTCGTCTCCGAGGCATGGCCTCTCGTGTCCTTGTCACTCGTCTTCCCCGGTCTCTCCCTCCCATTCCCTCAGGGCCTGCCCCTACCTGCGTTCCTTGCGTCGAGGGGCGGCAGCGCGCCGCTCCTCACTCCTCTGAGTTCCCTCCGACGAAGGCTCCCCTGCAGACTCTTCACATGGACGTGTGGGGCCCCGCCCGCGTCCGTGGACAGGGTCACGAGCGCTACTTTCTGCTGGTCGTTGACGACTACTCGCATTACACCACAGTCTTCCCCTTGCGCCGCAAGGGTGAGGTCACTGAGGTGCTGATCGACTGGATCCGCACTGCCCGTTGTCAGCTCAGCGAGAGTTTCGGCTCGGACCTTCCTGTTTTGCGTCTGCACTCCGATAGAGGTGGAAAGTTTTCCTCCGACCTTCTGCGAGCCTTCTGTCGTGCGGAGGGCATCCTCCAGACGTTCACGCTTCCAGCCTCTCCGCAGCAAAATGGGATTGCTGAGCGCCGCATTGGCATGGTCAGGAACGTCGCTCGTACGTCCATGATCCATGCGGTTGCTCCCCATTTTCTGTTGTCGTTCGCGGTTCATTACGCTGTGCATCAGCTCAACCTCCAGCCCCGGGTTTCCATGCCGGAGACCACACCTACTCTGCGGTGGACGGGGAAGGTTGGCGATGCCTCTGCGTTCCGTGTCTGGGAATATTGAGCTTTCGTCCGCGACTTGTCTGCAGACAAGCAGTCCTCCCGTGCTGTTCCCTGCCTCTTCCTTGGCTTCCCCCCTGACGCGCCTGGTTGGCAGTTTTACCACCCCACCTCGCGCCGTGTTCTGTCCTCTTAGGACATCACGTTTGACAAGTCGGTTCCTTACTACCGTCTCTTCCCCTACCGCACTGCCCCCCTCCCCCCACCCCGCTGCTCTTCCTCGCGCCAAGTCCCCCCCCAGTAGACCCCCTCCCCCCTCAGGGTCCTGCCCCCTCAGGTGTGTCCCAGGTAGACGCAATCAAGCTAGTCAAGGTAGCTGTTGACTCTGGCGCTGCTAGGGGTGCTGAGCCTGCGGGTGCCGGGTCTGGGGGTGCTGAACCTGAGCGTGCGGAGCCCGGGGGTGCTGGGTCTGGGGGTGCTGAGTCTGGGGGTGCTGAGCCTGTGGGTACTGAGCCTAGGGTTGCTGAGTCTGGGGGTGCGGAGCCTGAGGGTGCTGAGCCTGCGCGTGTGGAGTCTGGAGGTGCTTAGCCGGGAGGTCCCTCGGCTGCTTCGTCCCAACGGAAGCCTCTCTCTCCCCAGCAGCTGCGCAAGTGGTTTGTTCGGCGCTGGAGCCGTGCTGCTGAAGCTATTGGTGCTACGGACGCTGGAGGTCCTGCTGCTGCTGGAGCTGCTGGGGGTTCTGGAGCCACTGGTCCCGGGGGTGCTCATACTGGAGGTAATGGAGCTGCTGGGCCTAGTGGAACTGCTGGAGCTGGAGCTGGAGATGCTGGTGCAGGTGCTGCAGGAGGCACTGGAGCTGGCGCTACTAGGGCTGCTGGAGCTTCTGGTTGTCATGCTGGAGCTAGAGCTGCTGAGGGTGCTAGAGCTGGAGGTACTGCTGGAGCCGGTGCTCCTGTAGGTGCTGGAGTTGGCGCTTCTGGTGCTGCTGCAGGTGCGGCTGGAGCTGGTG